CTACCATGCAATCATGTTCGTTATTTCCCAGCCTCTAATACAGTCTTGGGTGGCAGACTTCTATTTCTCATTTTACCTTGTTCCAAATGTGAGCTGGGGCAGCTGGCTCTTTTTCTTTCCTTACATTTTCATGATTTATATAAATACTTTTGCCGCTGTATTGTATTTTATTTTTATCCTTTGCATTTTATTGGTACCAAACTACTGGTGCATTTCCAGGGCTCCCATGCGAATATTCCTATTTATCCCGTGGTTATTTATTGAAAGCTATCTCATGCTCAGTTACGTTGCCACTTTCTTTGCCTTTAAACATTAAACAGATACAGTATATTTTCAAATAATTTCAAACAGTACTTGACGACTGAATTTTTCCTTTTTGTCCTGGTAAGATTTTTGTTCCTTCTGGTCAAGATTGGAACATTGCTGTCTTTGCAATTAGAGCCTTGCTGTCCGGTTGGATGCAGATCCTTCCTGTCTCCCAGCAGACAGATCAGGCTCTGCTTTGATTTACAGAAAAGTTTCTTACATGAAGAAGGTGTCTCGCAGAGGAGGGATGGGCAGCGCTCAACAGGATGTGCAGAGGTAGTGGGTTCGCCGGGCTGCTGATGCCATGCCCACAGCCATAAGTAACTTGATTTAACTATAATTAAATGTGGCCACATGTATCTAGTTTGCACAGTATTGGCAGCATAGAACTAGACCAAGGCTTCTTAAACTTTTTCTGCTTAAAACCTGTTTTTTGTTTGTTTGTTTGTTTGTTTTTGAGACAGGATCTCTCTACATAGCTCTGGCTGTCCTAGAACTCACTATGTAGATGAGGCTGGTCTCAAACACACAGCAATCTGCCTTCCTCTGTCTCTTGGATTAAAGGTGTGCACCACAATACCTGGCCCAAATCCTGTTTTTTTGCCTAAGAAATTTCTACATTACCCTGAGTATATAGGTATGCAAAACAGGCATATGAAATCAAGCATTAACTGAGAATAAGCCACAAAGAAATTTATTTAAAAACAACTCTTTGATATAAATTTAATTTCATTATCAATTAGAGATGAAAGCAAATTTGCATCCTGATGAGATGAATGTGCTTATTTTTTACATAAAGAGTTAAATTTCAGTTGAATATTTGAAACGTCAGGACACAGCACCCTCAACATTTCCCCAAACTGATGGACATTTTGATTTTATAGCTGTCAGTGCTGAGAATGTGGCTTTGCCAAAATACACAGAACAAAATGGTAGATGTACATTCAGGGCCATATCAGAAATTGTTGGAAATTCTGTTTAGACTCAAGTCAAAATCATTCAATAATTGTTTTTAACACACTTATTTATTTATTTATTTGTGTGTGTGTGTGTGTGTGTTTTTGCTTGAAGCCTCTCATAGTGCAAAGTCTAGGTGTTGTTTGTTTAGAATCAAGACTTCAGTGAAGTCTCTTGATGCAACACAGGTAAGTGCCGCCTCCAAACTTCAGACTCGTCACACATAGAATTCTGAATTAATTTTTGGTTGCTGTCTGTTCAGAAACAATTTACTGCTATCAGATTTTTCGTTCCCACCTTCAATTCTGTGATTCCATATAGAACCATGACTCATGGTCTAAGAAGCTGCATTCTAGGCAGCCAAACATGGCTTGTCCAACTCCGGCAGTGGTTTGATTTATCTAACGAAATAGCAACAACGATGGAAGAGCTGGGTTGTTCTGGGAGTGTGGGCAGTGGGGTAGGGGGACTTGGAGCCATCTCCAGCCCCACTCTGAGCTGCTTGGTGATCACAAGTGAGTCAGGGCCCTCCCAAAGCACTGATTGCTTCATCAGTAAAATAATAATGATAATTACAAACTTATAAAATCACGGGCTGGAGAGATGATAGTTCAACAGTTAAGTGATTGCTCCACAATCATGAGAACCAGAATTTGGATCCCAGTGTCTGTGTAAAAAGTCAGGTGTCCTTGAAAAAACACCTGTAACCCAAGCTCTGAGGAAGATGAAGATAAGAAATCACTGAGGCTGCTTCCTCCTAGGCAAGACTCCAGCCATGTACAGGGAAGAGACCCTTTCTCAGACAATAGGCAGAGAATGATGGAAAAGGACATCCATCACCCTCTTTTGGCTTCTGTGTGCACATAGGTACATGGGTACATGCACTCACACAGATATACATATACACACATAAAATAAATAAGAATAAATTTTAAAAGTTGTAGCATGAATCTTAGAGGGTCTTATTAATAAAAACAAACCTGAGGCCAGTTATTGGGGTGAACATTGGAAGATCAGAGAAGCAGAACAAGCCACAGCTACCTCACCTTGCCAATTCCTCAGCTGATCCTGTTTCCTCAGACTGGATGCTTCTGAGTCCTCATCCAGAATGAATCTCAGCTGAACTGCTGCAAAAAGCCTAAAAGCTTAACCGGCCAAATGCTTAACCATCCAAATGCTTCTAGTTTCTAGTCTTCACGCCTTATATATCTTTCCTTTCTACCATTACTCCCTGGGATTAAAGGCTGGCTTTCTGGGATTAAAGGCGAGAGACACCATGCTTGGCTGTATCCTTGAACAGATGGATTTCTGCCTCTGGAATGCTAGGATTAAAGGCATGTGCTACTACTGCCTATCCTCTATGTTTAATATTGTGGCTGTCGTGTTCTCTGACCCCAGAAAAGTTTATTAGGGTGCACAATATTTTAGGGAACACAATACCACCACAAAAGGTCAAAATTTTATGTCTGTATGCCCCTGCATGAGTTTATGCACACCATGTGCATGCAGTACCCATAGAGGCCAGAAGAGGGAGTCAGATTCCCCCTGGAACTGGAATTAAAAGCAGTTGTATGCCTCCTGATATGAGGCTGGGGAACCTAACCCAGGTCCTCTGAAAGAGCAGTAAGTACTCTTAGCGATGTCTTCAGCACTAATAATAATAATGATGATGATGATGATAATAATAATACTAATGCAATCAGAACCAAAACAATCTTATAAAAATTAATATTGGAATAAAAGGTCATTAACACAAGTGGGAGTGCTTCAAAGCAGTGTTGGCAAAGTACCCTGTACTTTTAGTATTTGCTAGGCAGTTACCATGAATGATCCCGTTCCATCGGTGCAGATTTCATGGCACAGTGCTACTGTATCTGTCATTGCTGCTGTTTTCACCTTAGAGACCACACCCAGTCCCTGAAACCGCAACAGACTCCCAATCTCCTCCAACCAGAAGGTGGCAGTGCTGTCCCAAGGGCCGTGAGCTCAGCCACTGTGCCAAACACTCTCAGTAGCCAAACCTTGGATGTCAGCAATGACTAATGCTAGCAATCATCTCCAGTTGCCATTGTGTCTTTTGTCTTGGGGAAAGTGGGAACCTAATCTTCTGGTGGGACCTTGTTGGGGGAAAGGAGTCCGGAACCAACCAGCATGGGAAACAGGAACTCTACCTGGCCCTCCTCACCTGCCCTGCTGGCCTTCCATTGTGGAAGCCACTTCTTGATGTCAGCTCCTAGGCTTCTTTCAAAGGGTTTGGCTGTCTTGTGACAGTCACACTTAATGTTGGACCGTGGTCTGCATCTCCTCCTTGTGTCTAGAGGCCTAGGTGTGGGAGTCCACGGTGACGTAAAATCCAGTTTATGCCTTGATTTCATCTTGTCTTAAGGTCATAGAGTTCAAGCTTGTCTTTGCTCTCTTAGGCTGGATAACAGGATGTTTGGCCTGGTTACCAGCTGTCTTGAAAATTAAGGAAGTGTTTACACTTGTTTGTACCTTAAACCATGATGTCCCTGAGAGGGGGAGATCTTTTGCCCCTCTTTGCTTTGGGTATAAAAAGGCTGTGAGAAATAAACTCAGGGCTGCTGTGGTGTTGACACAGAGCCCTCCCGAAGCCACCCCATATATCTGTCTTTTTCTTTGACGTCTATGTCTCTGTTTTTCCTATCTATTGTTTCTCAATTCTCACTCCCCTATGCAGGACTGTTCAACAGGTCAGGCAAGGCCCAGCATCTAGGGCCCTTTTTACTGGTATCTGAAGGGCCTTTGGTAAATCATGTTACTCCATGAGAGTCATAATTTTTCTCTTCTTTCTTTTTTTGTTTTTGTTTTTGTTTTGTTTTGAGACAGGGCTTCTCTGTGTAGCCCTGGCTGTCCTGGAACTCTATAGACTAGGCTGGCCTCGAACTCACAAAGATCAGCCTACCTCTGCCTCCAGAGTGCTGGAATTAAAGGCATGCACCACCACCTCCTGGATGAGAGTTACCATTTTTCACTCAAAAGAATTGACAAGCCATAGACACTGCAGGAGGCAGGTGATGGGACAAGAGTAGGATCTGTCAGTGGTGACCAGGTGACCACAGCTCTGAACAGCTCTGGGATGTATGAGATGGACACCCACTGATGGAACCTTATATACCTTTCTGCTTTCTGTCATCACTTCCTGGGATTAAAGGCTCACCTCCTGGGATTAAAGGCATGAGTCACCATGCCTGGATGTTTCCAGTGTGGCTTTAAACTCACAGAGATCCAGATGGATCTCTGCTTCCCAAGTGACAGGATTAAAGGCATGTGTGCCACCATTTTCTGGCCTCTATATCTAGTGGCTGTTCTGTTCTCTGACCCCAGATAAGTTTATTAGGGTGCACAATATTTTGAGGAACACAATATCACCACAGCTTATAAAATAATCACTCAAAAGCTTGCATTAATTAAAACTGCTTGGCAATTAGCTCAGGCTAACTACTGACTAGCTCTTACACTTAAACTCAACCCATTTCTGTTAATCTATATATGGCCACATTTTCCATAGTTTTACCTGTGTGTTGTTATACGCTGCTTCCTGGATGGTGGGCTGGTGTCTACTGACTCAGCCTTCCTCTCCCAGAAGTCTTCCTCTCCCAGAAAAACTTTCAGCTATAAATGGTGCCCAACGGCTCAACTTTCCACCTGAAACCTGAGAATACTTAATAAGCAATTCTAAAGGGAGCAAAAACTAGGTTCTTCCTTCATGTCTCATG